ATAGGGTAGATTATGTGCTCCTCTGAGATGTCTGCAGTAATGATCGTGCGTTTTAGAATAAATGATCTCAAAGTGCTTTGCAAATTTAACAGTTTGATATCAGACTTAAGTGCAAGATGACTGCAGCTAGGAAGCACTAGGAAAATGGTTCACAGCGAGGGAAGAATACCTTCCCTTTCCCCCCTAAGAAACTGCCAAGGAATCGTAGGTGTGCAGAATGTAATTATGCAGACTGAAATTAGGCCAGTTCACTATGGCTAATTCCTTGTCTTTTACAGAAAGTGCCACAGGATCTTTAATGCCACAGATGATTAGGTTGTCAGCTTTATGTATCAGCTGCAAGGTGGCAGCTCTAGTAGCTTACCCAACAATGTGTCCAGCTTGCAGAGCACGGGGATAAATCCTGCCAGGGCGCCGTGCAGCATTTCTCCTCCATGCTTCGTGACCCCATGTTCCCCAGCAGCGGAGCTGTACCTCCAGTACCTTCTCATTCATGCTTTCAGCTTCAAGTTTCCATTTATTAAATCAGCCCTTCCATCATCATCATTTATGTCCTATTCATACATCATTTCTAGCTATTGTAATACCTCTTCTCGGGATTTAAATAACTCTGACATGGAATAGCTTGTGCAGTCTGAACAAAGAGCCTTAAGCTAACAGAATAGCTTTATCTAAAAGATACTTACAAACAAATGAAAGGAAAATGTTGTTTGTGTTCTTTTTGTGTTTTGTGAATAAGAGTTATGCAGGAAGAGAGCTATTCAGCACTGAGTACGCTCTGCCAGGAGACAGATGCAGCCCCAGCAGCTGAGGGAAGTTGCTGTGACTTCAAAATGAACTCTGCAAGTCCTGGAAATGTTCTTAACTGACCAGATAATTTCATACCTTCAGATTTTGGATGATATTTTGGATATTGGCTAAAGACCTGAAACATTGAGGTTGATTTAGCTTTTAACTCGCTCTTCTAAATCTAAGCGTTAATTTTGTTCCATTGCTAATTGACATTTCTGGTACTTTCCTGGTCCTGCTTCTTTCACAAACCTTCAGCCAGTCAGATGTGGTCAGTCCAGCATCATACCCAGCTTTTTAACTGGAAAAACTGTATTGCTGCCATTTCTTTGCATTGCGTGTTGTGCAACATCCCACACGGTCTGCTGCAAGGTCATGAGATACAAATAGGCCATTGGGAATCCAGCACGGGCTTCAGCCAGTAACCACACACAATCCTTGTGTTCCAACCATTTTATTGCAGAAACACTTTTTGAGCAAATGTGTAAAAAAATAATAATATTTTCAAACTATAGGAAAATACTTGGAAACTCTTCTTCAAAAGTCTGGTGAATTGTTGAAGTTGTGCTAGAAAAGAATGGACATTGGTAGAGTAGGGGTGATGTCCAAGAGGAATTCCAGCTGTGCCAACAGGCTGCCTCCATCAAGTGTCCATTGCTCCTCCACAGCAGTGGGAGAGCTGAGAGAAGGACAGTATAGATTCAAGACAGGAACATTTCATTCATACTTTCAGTATTTTAGGCCCAAATTTCAAGTGGATCATCAGAAATGACTTTCCCAAACTTGTCTGACAATGAGATCTTCACTCTGCTCGAACTCGTTCTTTCTTTCCCATGTGCTCCATTTTGCTGTGTGCATTTTGTGATGTATAAAGGTGATGGTGTATGTTTCCTTTAGAAAACATAGGTTTTTACCTTTGTGTTCTGTCTGAAGGTGGTTCATAGCATGTAGCAAAGCTGTGTCAGTGCAAAAGGGAGGACCCATTTCCCAGCCTGTGGGCAGGACAGAAGCATTTTGGTTGCCTGCCATTTACTCTTGCTAAGGAAAAGCGATGACACTGGCTAGCCCGAGTGTAGCTGGCATCTTGGCTCTCAGCACTGAAATGGCACTCTCTCTCTATATTTAAGAGTACATATAAATACAAACCTGCTTTCTGGAATTTATCACCTGCATTTCTCTGTCTTTCAGAAGGACAATAATGCATTCTTATGTTTCCCATTAAAAAGTTGTATCATAATAACTTAATCCAGACCGCATACACCTTCCTCTTCTAGGTCGCCTGGCCACAGAAAGATGTTTTCAGATTCCTAAGTAAGACTGTTTGGGGTGGGGACTTGCAATGCCATTCCTTTTTGTGCTGTAGGAGTTCCCGTGTCTGTGCTTTGGTTTCGTGTGATAATTTAAGCACAGATGTAGAAACACTTCTTCACTGGATCCCGGGAAGTGGGCTGGCAGTGTTCAATCGTTATTACATTAGGATGAATCGAGGCTAAGCATGCTGAGCTCACCCTTCCCCCAGCACTCTGTAGACACACACAGACACCGGCACACACACAGTATTATCTCTGTTTGCCTTACTAATGTCATTGTGCAATATTCCATTTTCCGCTCTCTTCGTGTCCCCAGGGTCTGTAACAAACCCCTGCTGGACCTTTTATCCACCCACTAAGTCCAGATTAATTTATTATACTCCATCTAGTTTTTGAACTGTTCCTTCTAAATGTGTGATGGGGCTTAGGGCTGTGCAAAGGGGATTCAAGGATAAGGGGAGAAAACATCCTCAGGCTCTAGCTTACAGTGCAAGGTTGCATTACAGTACGAACACCTCAACTATTATTATGCATAGCCATGGAAGATGATGCAGGAGGAATGGCTGATTAGAGCTCATGCTTAGCTAAATTAACATCTCAAGTCCATTTTTTTGTTATAAATCTGAGTTCATCACAATCTAAAGGCAAATATTTGCCTTTAATATCTCTGATTTATGCATAGAATACAGTGTACTGTTCATTTCCTTCTTAATTATTATTATTTTTTTAAACAGCTTCCAGGCAGAAAGTCAAAGCCTGCTGTGTTTTATATTATACTCTGCAACTCATTTTCCTGCGTGTTTTTTTTTAATAAAACATCTAATTAATCCATGTAATCTGAATACTTTCTGCTTAAACTCAAAGTGCTCGTGAAAAGATCTGAATGAAAATGTAGCTAATTTGTTGTACCTGTAAAGGTAATAGAAAGGTAGAAATACAGAGGGAGATGGATACTTAATCGTTTTATACCGAGCATGCGAGTGGTGACTGAAAACATGATAAGGGCGTGGAAAATGCCAGGTGGAAAATGCCTGGACAAAAAGGTATCAAATGAAATGGAAATGATCCTCCTAATTTTTGCCATCTCATTTTTGTGCACTGCGTTACATAATGTGGTCCCGATGATCTTGCATATGTGCCCATAAAACTGCTATTGCTTTTCCATTTGTGGGAGGCCTCAACATGACCTTTTTTTAGGATCCTGCTATAAAAAAGGCTTGAGAGGTTGTTACAGCTCAGCCCTCTTTATCTCACACTGAAGACTACAAATGATTAGTTATGTTAGAAGTTCCTTTAGGTCTGTCTCAGCATCTCCTGGGGAGAACACAAACAGGAGGAACTGGAACCGGCCCTGTCTTCAGAAATGAGGAGTGTAACTTCAGGTGGCAAGCTCTGAAGTAAAGAAAAGCAATTGGAGAAGTGTTCTTGGTGATGAATTATCACCAGCCGAATTTTTAATGGAATGTTTGTCAGGCTTTTTCATGAAATACCAGCGGCTCTTTAACATCTTTAAATTATTACCTAGACAATTTCCAGTAACAACGAAGTTGAAAATCGATGTAGGAAATATTACCATAGTAAAAGTAAAAAGATGCCTCCAAATGGTAATGCACAAAACCTCACAAGGGAAAGCTTATTGCCTATGAAGCTTTCCCAGTAGAAATATTATAAATCATACATAAGTCAGGGTGTGAATGAGAAAAAGAAAAATAATTACCAAGATACAATTTAGAATTGCTTCAAGTGGTCGTGGCCTGGCAGAGACAAATAGGGGATGTTTGTTAAGTGTGGTCAGCAGAGACGTGGCGTGTCACAGTTCTGGGCAGAAGCTTAGAAGACCTTTTCTTTTTTTGGAAGAAAACATATGAGATACATTTCTCTGCCCTCTTGTGCATCTGCACCAAAATCAGTCACAACACATCCCTGTTAAGCAGCTGTGTAGCCAGGAGAGAGTCAGAGCCATTTTTTCCCCAGGAAATCTCACCTTTGAGGCAGTGTCAACTCTGCAGTGCAGTCTTGCTTTTACTTCTTTTTTTTTTTTTTTTTTTTTTTTTTTTTTTGCAACCGAGACCACCAAAACAAAAAATCATACATGGCTTCCCCTCTGGCACGGAGTTGGTCATTCACATTTAGAGCCCAGCATGAAATCTCAGCCTGTTGTACCGGTGGCAAAATTCCAAATTACTTAAATAGGAGCAGCAGCCTTCTGATCCCCCTGTTTCGCGAGCTACAAGATACCATTTGTTCCTGGCATTGACTATTTACACTGCAAATACAAATGGGCACATTTAAAAGTACCCAGGAATGTCAGTGTTGCCAAATGAGTAGATAACTTATCTCTAATTTTGCTAGATCTAATCTGAAATTAGGAAGAGGATTATAGTCATTGATAACATGCTAAGGCTCAGTTCCCATTTATGCCCAGGACCACTTTGTCTGCATGTTGTACAGAACAGTAAAAAGAAGGGTGTCTCCATCCTTCACCCAGAGTTTTATAAATCCTGTGGTGAATGAGATAGAGCAGGTGGTGAAAACAAGACATGAGTGGCATGGGAAAATGAAATGACAATGAAATAAAGTTTAGCAGAGAGACTTGGGCTATGTTTTCTCCACAAGATTGCTCTCCTGAACTAGAAGCAACCAGAGATACACACCATACACACCTTCCTCTTTGTAATAAATGAATGGGGCCTTGAGCACGGCCAGAACATGGACAGCAGCACAAATAATAATGGTGGCCACATCCGTTCTCCAAGAAACATGTGCACTTGGAGTGTTTTGTAATTAACGCTCAGCCCAAAAACAGTTCACAAGGTCACAGAAGCAGCTCATAGCAAACACTGCATATGCCCAGATTAGTTCCTGGTACAGCTGAACCCAGAATGGCTGGGGTGGTATTCCACTTAAATTGGAAGCTTTTTGAAAGGTAGCGAAGAAAAGAAAGATTTGCCAGCTAGTTTTATTTTTAAATCACCACCAAATCACGCACCGGTGCTGCAAAAACCTCAGGAATGTATCTTCAAAAATCTTCACTGAAGGTACATCCTTATTGCAGAATCGCCAGATCTAATCACTGGCTACATCTCCAACATGTTTCATGGCAAAAAAAAAATAAAAAATTAAACCAAGTGTTATAGTCTACTCTTTAGCAGTCTTGTCCACATCTAATTTGGAATGCTTTACTAATAAATATCAATTTAAAAATACCCCACCCCATTTTTACATTGCATTTTCGTGCATATCCATGGAAAAGAAAGCCAGGCATAAAAAAGCCCAGCAGCACACTATGGAATGCTCTTACAGCAGCAGTGTCACCTTGTTAAGGGAAGCGTGTTTACACGTGGATTTGCATCATGCGTGCAAATTAGCTGAGTTTACGAGCCCGTGGCCTTGTCACATTTTGATAGTTTCCAAGCATTCCCTCTTCTTTTTTTTTTTTTTTTTTTTTTTTAAATTAGGCTTTTCCCTCACCTTAGAGATTGCATCTGTAGTATAGTAGATTTTAACTACTTTACCATAATATTGTATTGTCTTACTATCAGTGATGGCATAGAGCCTTAAGAGATGAATTACATTCAGCTGTTCCTAAGCTGACGCATAGCTTGTACATTAGTACCAGTGGTTCAGTTCATTTTTGTCCATCTGGCCAAAAGCAGGTGTCATTTTGTTAGGGCGGGGAAGATATAAAATCCTAGGATAGAAGTTGACCTAAAATAGGGAGTTGTAAGATCCCAGTCACCTGCCAAGGTGGCTCCACATGGAGCCTTCCAAAAAGACTGCGGTTGTTGTTCCAAAGGTGCGGGTTTTAATTTACACAAGGACAGAAGGGTGAATGCTAGGCTAGTTACGAATTCAGCTGTGCCCTATTTCAGTCTGAGACAAAGTCACATTGCATAAAGATAACGCTGTATGCCTGATTCAGGTAATTTCTGACAGTTTCCATTTCTCTCTTCTCAGCTCGCTTTGGTAGAAAGCAAACGACTTACAGAGGTTTGGGTTCTGCCTTCTCTAAGCATAGTGCTTGAGCAGGTACAACAAAAGCTGGTAATTTTCCTACTCTTAAAGCATATCCTCTCTTTATTTGATGAGCAGGATAGCAGTTTCCTGATCTGTAAAACCCTGGAAGAGCAGCTGGCCAAGACTATAAACTGGCACAGGTGCTGGCAAGTGGCTTGGGCCTTCGTCCCAGCTGGCAGGTTAGATGGGCTTCCTGCCGGGGCTATGGGATGGGAGCTGGTCAGAAAGGCTCCGTGGGCTGGGATTTCTGGGCTCTCACAAAGAGCTGAGCATTGCTGCTTAACCTGCAGAAGATAGGTGGTGCTGGCAGCTGTATCCTGTTCTTGGCCTGAAAATAGCAGCTTGTTCTGGAGGTTTTTACACCAGAACGCTGGTGGCTGTCGCCCTGCATGATGAGCTTGTGTGTGATGCTGTCTGCTGCTGGCGTGCGAGGTAAAGGCGTTCTTGTTGTTGATGCTAACCCAACATTATTCTGCACACAGCTCATACTGGTCTGGGGGTTGCTGTGTAATCCTCACCTGCAAAGCCACGCACTCTGCTGCTTTCTCTAATCTCCCTGTATAAAAGGGCGAAAGGAACTTCTTCCCCTGCAAAAACAGAGAAAGCCTTTACAGGGGCTCACCATAGCCTACCCATTGTCCCTGCATGTAGTGCTGCAGGCCCTCCCTAGGTAGTGGTGTGTCCCTTTCCTTCCTTTTCCCTTTCTTTTTAGAAAAGAAATGAAGGAAGTACTAAAGCACACCAAGCCTCTTTGATTTCAGTTAGAAGTGCACATGTGAAAGCCATTATATAATGGGACATGGAAAGCATGATTTTGGGGAAGAAAAAAAAAGAGCTTGTTTATCTTTGGATTCCACCAGGAAAAATATGGTGTTGCCTTTTAACTTATGTACTGACCTTTACTTAGTCATACTTTTATCGTTACTTAATATTAATTTGGGTCTTGGCCTACTACCAGCACTTTTTTCTTTTTTTTTTTTCCTCCTCCCCATTGATGTATCTGAGTTCATGTGGCAAAAACTTTCCTCTCGAAATCTGATTTCAGGTAATTTCACTCCTTTCTGGTCTCAGGAATGACTGAGCCTTGCTTTATGCCGAGGCTGTGAATTCATTCTTTGCTCTGACCTGCCTTCAGCCCCAGCTCGTTCAGTCTAACTGATGATTGCATAAAGACTATGCTCTTTTATTTCAGCTAACAGCCTGAATGTGAGTTTTATAATGAAATGGTTAGATTATATTTGAAGCTTTCAACGCATATTTACTAAGTGGTTGCCATTTGTGCGAGGAGAAAGGCCCTAGGGATGCTGAGACAAGCACAGAAGTTGTGGTGTCATACTGCATGAAGGCCAGGCAAAGTTAGTGTAGTAGACAAACCTGCACACCAGTTGGAAAGGAAAAACTTTAGGACAGACATCCAGTCATATATATTTATTGTGTTAGATTTATTTGTATATGAACTCTTTTATAGAACATATATTCCTTCTATAAAAGAATAGATTGTATTTCTTTTAAAAGAACTTATGTCTATAGTGTTTTACTCTTCCTCACACAAAACTGAATGATAGGGATCGCACAAATGGAAACTTTTCCAAGTTTATAGCCCGGACTGACCTGACAGATGTCTTCAGGGAGGATTGCTGGTGCGATGCTGGGGATAAACACGGCTCCAGCAGCTCGCTCTGACTAAACAGGAAAGAGCTGAAGCCAGGGCAACTCCATGCCTTGTTCTTCTGCCATGTGTCACCTTTACTGAGGATAAAAGTGAGTCAGAGACTGAATGTCGTGCCGAAATTACTTCAGTTTCTGTTAAAACAAAAATGCAAGCTTGTGTAAGATGTTTAAGTATGTACATGCATACCGTGTTCTAGCATGTTTGAAACTATTCTCAGAAGCCTGCTTGAAGTGTATCTCCTAATGCAAAATGTTGCAAAATAATCCTGTAAAGCATAGTTGTTTACTAATAATAGATATTCTAAGCAAAGCTGTTTGAAGTGCTGCTTCACAGTCATCTGCTGAATTGAAAAATCCTTTACAAACACCGCTTTTACATTTCAAGGTAACAGTTAAATTATCTAGACCGAGTATCCCACACTCAAAATTCTACTTTGCGTTGGTACAGGGAATACTTATTTTAAGCACATCCAGTAAAATACATATTTTAAACGATATTTTACAGTTCAGTAGTTTCTCTAACCTGAAGATCCCAAAGTGCTTCTCAGATGGAGGTGAAGTTAGCTTAGGAGCAGTCCTATGAGCACAATTATTTTCATTTCACATACAGAGAAAATGAGCAGCGAAAACTGATGGCTTGCTCAAGGTTGCATGCAGGTGCTGGCAGTAAGAACAGAACCTGCTCTTCTTGCCTCCCACTTCTGTGCTTTAACTAGAAAGCCCCTAGCAGGCTTTCCGCATCATCCTGTGATTGAGCAACTTTCATTAGATCAGTGGAGATTCAGGAATCCTGAGCTAATTAATGCTCTGGCACTTCTCAAAGCCTCGCTGCTCTTTACCTCTGATGGTTCCATAGGGTTCGATGACTTGAAGCGATGTCTCTGAAGAGACAACAGAGAAAGGCAAATAAAGGATGGGGATTCACTAACCTTGTCTGACAAAGGTAGGGGCCGTGCTCGGAAACATTTGCTTAGGTTTTATAGGCTTCCTTTTCTTTTTAAATGCTGGGTATGAAAGCTAAGAGGGACCTTGTCACGTTAATTGAGCCTTGAAATCTGATAAGTTACAAGTTGTTCTTTATCAGAGTCCTATGCATCACTCTTACACTGCTTAAAGTACATTGCCTGAATTCTCTTTTAAAACTAAGCATTTTCAATGATATCAAACTTAAAAAAAAAAAAAAAAAAATAGGATTGCTGTGTAAGCCACAAGGAATCAGGTATTACAAATACTCTGCCAGCTGTGTTTCCAAATGATTAGGGAGGTACATAAGCTGCTGCTGTTAGATTTGGGTCAGTGCCTCCCAGAAGTTTGGGTTAAGATATTTCGGTTCATGTTTGTAACACCTCTGATTACAACTCATTGTGTGGAGAGGTTTTAACTGTTTCAACTTTTCTGCTAGTAAGAAGATTAATTATGAAGACAGTAAAGAGGCTAAGCTATTAGCAGCAATGGATTTTAGAGTAGGTCACTTTTTTTCTGTCCAATTAACAGTACATGGCTTGTCAGTAATGTTTGGACGTCAAGAAGCAGAATGTTTTAAAGAACCAGGAGAACATTCATCACTACATTGTAGTATCAGCTGAATTCTCGCTGTTCTCCCCCTGCATGGCAAAGGTTTGCTTTGTTTACATTTTATTTTGGTATTTTGATAAGTTCCTACAACCCAAAAGTGGGTCATCATTAATGAATATGTATATACCCAACACGGGTATTTTACCGTATGAGAAACAGAAGGTACAAAACATGAGTTATCTCTGAAACTACCATGTTTTTTCCATCAACTAGTAGGAAGAATAGGCAGGCAGTTCTTAGAAATATAATGTTTTGTGATCCTGGGCATTGGAATATGGCTTCTCAATATAGAGAGCACAGCAGAAACTTAATGCTTTGAATAATTTTAAAAAAGAAAAGGGAAGAAGAAAAAAATACAATTTGCTCTTAATCTGAGTAAATGAGTGTGAGGAACACAGGGATGAAGTTACTTTACAGTGTTAATGGGACTTTATATATAAAGCATTAAGCATCTCTGTAGCACTCCTAAAGCAACACGGCTAATGCTTTAACTTGTTTGACAATGGAGCTTTTTGACTACTTATATTCCAGCTTATTTACAAATTGAGAATAGGCTTGTTGAGTCTTGTTCTGTGATAGACTTCTGAAGTCTTCGTGCTGGTAGCTTCCAGTTTCTTCACCCTGGCTGAGATGGCAGGCAGGGGAGTCAGGCATTGAGCTGGACCAGCCAAACAGGGGCAGGTAGCACTTCTCATAAAGGGGAGCAGCCCAGACACCGGGCTCTTCTTGACACACGGCATTAACTATTAATAGAGATTCATTATTTTGTGGATTTGTCACAATTGGCTCTTAGGACAGGGTGTCTGCATGCTTTACTAATTATCCCTAACCTGCTTGGAGGCACATTCGTGAATGCCAATCATTTATTGCCAATTTACATACCTGAGGGAGGGGGTTGGGGGAAGGATTCAGAAACATAAAAACACATTGGAGTTAATGCATTAATGTTTTCCCTCAAACTCACCCTGTGCCATGGCTTGACAAGTCCGTCTCTGTCCCAAATAAACCTAACCTCTTACATCCTTTGCAAGCGACAGGAAAGCCAAACAATTTCCTCAAGATTACTTGAGCTCCTTGGAATAATGTCAATCATTGTGTTGAGTTTTAGGATGTTTTTTTAAAGAATGAAATGGTATATTCATGATAAAGTCCTGATTTGCTTATTTGATATGAAATTTCAATGTGTTTTTTTTTTCCTTGCATAACCCACTCTGCAGTGTGTCAGGAAGCATTTTCCTAACAATCCATAAGGGAACAGAAATCCCCGGCTTGAATATATATGAGTTTATTATGCTCCTTGCCTTGAGGTTTGCAGTGACTTGTTTCCGCCTGGTGAGAGGGTGGGCAAGGCTCAGGGGGCGGGTGTCGTGGCAGTGCCATTAGCCACCCATACCTGATCCGAGATGTCATGCCTGCCTGTACTGCGCCACCAGGACTGAGGTGTTCGTGCTTTGTCATCATTCAGTGGGTGGCTGCTGTGGCAAGATGCTTGCTTCTGTGCAGTGAATCAATCGTAAAATGAATGTTAGACTTCTGCAGGGGGAAGTATCGCGCCTCCTTCTTGGCTTCCCACCCCCAACCTTTTCCTTCCTCTGCTTCCCTGGCATGCTAAAACAGCTTTATGAAAATCAAAGGCTTTAATTGTAAAACTACCACTTAATTGATGATGCACAGGATTTATTCAGTGCTCAGCTCATGGAGATGGCTTCATCTGGCGTTGTTCTTTTTTTTTTTTCTCCCCTCTCACTCCAACTTACCGAGCAAAGTTTAATATTTAAACACATGCCACATTGTTAAGGAGGCAGGCGTCAGCATCTTAGCGAGCTTCAAATGAGTTATTTGAAAACGTCACGCTGCTTCGGGATTCCTTTTGTGCAGGGCTGGGCTCTCCAGACAGCTTAGGCAAAGTAGCCTTAATGGGCAGCGCGGCGAGTCTGTCCTGTGGGGCAGCGCGCCCAGCTCACCCACAGAGGCCGGGTGCCCCGCACAAAGAGGGGCTGTGTGGCCCTCAGGATCTCACGCTTATTTGTTTCCAGCTATTACAGAGGATGGTTCAACTCCAAAATAGCAAGTTCCTCACAACCGCTCTTCTAAAAAGTCCTGCGGCCTAGGTGTGCTTAAAGCGGGGCTGGAGGAAGCGCTCCCTCTGTTTTCGTTCTCTCAGAGGTCCAAGTGAGCCTGATGCTCTGTGGGCACAGTGACCGTAACAGCGCTTCTGCTTCTAAGAGGAAGTCTCGAGCATGCCCTCCACTAATAAAGTGTATTTGTTACATTATCAGAGCAATTCCTATGCTAACATGTGCAGAGCATGGTACAGGCCTGCCCCCCCAGCTGAGGGAGAGACCCTTGGCCTCACGTGCTGGATGCAGAAGAGGCCGTGTCCTGCTACGTTTGTCTGCGTCGTGCTCTCGTGAGTGTGTTGCAGGCACATGGGTGCTATCCTGTAGGGAGATCTTGCCCTCCTGATTAAAACATATTCAAAAAAAAAAAAAAAAAAAAGGCAGTAGGTCAGAGTGAAGCCTGCAGGATGAGGCCTGAGCAGGGTATGCTGCTGCTGGCGTTTCCCAAGGAACTTCTGAGCATTTCTTGAGCATTTCTGTGGTGTGGAGTTGTTGTGAATGTTGGTTTTGTGATGCTGCAAGGTATTGATCAGTTTGGAAAGTCTCTATTTCCTATGCCGCATAAACATTTGGGAAGAGGGAGTCCTTCTAGCACAAACCCACAGCACTTGCAGTGCTTTCTGTGCTGTTTGGCTGGATGACAGTCTATGGGACCAAGTTTCACCTGCAGTTACAACTGCACACCTCGCTAAGGTTGCCTACAAACCAATGAGGGTCTATTTTAGCTGTGATTTCTAAGTATCTGCTGTAATACCACCTGGGGTTATTTATCCCATTTATTTCAGAAGTGGCTTCTTTTGAAGAAGAGGAGGTGAAGAGATAAGGCTGCCTATGTAGTAGCAAATGCATGCTGCGTGTGCATGACAATATAGGTCTCTGAGGTTTAGTGGATCTGGAATTGCGCCATTTGTTTCATACTAATTGAAGCATGTGTCTACAAGTGTGCAGTGTAAAACACAGGATAAATGGAGATCATAAAATACAGGTACTGTATAACCTATCTTATTATTAGACAGGCAGGCACTTGCACTGCATCCGAAAATGTATGTTTTCTGAAGAAAAGCTGCTCTTTTCTGTGCATATGTGTATATATATTAGGCTAATAGGATTTATTTCTGCTAAGCCAGTCTGAGACAACACAATCTTTTACAGCTTTTCAGAATCTTCCCCGTATGTCCCTTGCCTTCGTAAAAGATAGAAAATGCTTTTCTGCACATACTTTTCTGTGCTTCTTAAACTGTGTATCCAATGTAACAAGTGTTAGATTTAAAGCTGATTCTGGATGGGAACAAGACATCTCAAAGAGTAGGTGTTGTCTTGAGCATGATTAAACTTAATTTGCTCCTACATTGAACTCTCTAGAGCAAGCTTTATACATTTATATTGTGCAGTTTCAAGTGACGTTTGCTGAGCTGACGCTGAACTTGGTCACGAGTCAAAGCTACCTGGCTGGTACTGGAAGGACAGGGTATGTCCCTGTACCTGGCCAGGGGGTCAGTAAGTAGATTTTTACACTTATTACCAAAAGGCCACATTACAATGTACTATGCATAGTGGACACGATATCGCACTGTAAATGTTTTCAAGAAAGAGAATTAATACATCTTTATTTGAAGTTTAGTTTCATCAGCCAAGGCAAATTGAGCTGGGCTACTGACTTTGAGATCAGACCTTTGTACACCACCTTCTGTCAGTCCTAGATTCAAAGCTCGTTTTAATAACTCCTTTATTTCCATCACTACGTCTACAGTGTGTTTGAGATGTATTGAGCTGTGTAAGTGGGCAGGAAAGCAATGAGAAACTTGGTTATATTCTGGAAGTATCAAACCATTAAGAGAGAAAACACATTTGCTGGGTGTCTGATCTCCGCAAACCACTGAGGCATCCGCTCACAGTAAGAAGGGTAAAAAAAACAAAAAACACAACCTCTTTGTACACTTCAGTGCATAACAAGCAGTGTATGCTTTGTAGTCATGATTCACAAGGCAGATTCATGTGCAAGTGACTCTAGGTACAGCAGTGGGGGTGGATCTCGATCATGTAAGGCCAGTGCAGGATGGAAGCAGAATGTG